TATAGAGAGAGAGAGAGAGAGAGAGAGAGAGAGAGAGAGAGAGAAAGAGAGAGAGAGAGAGATATTGCTATGGTGTCTAGTTAGATGGCTTAAAAGTGCTACAGGTCTTTTGAAAATAAAAAGCAAAGTCAACAAAAATCCTTTCTTAAATTAGTTTTTGTTTCTGTTGGATTTTAGTGTTCTTACAGAATCAGCTAGCGCTCAGGAAAATCACAATGGTTTTTACCATATTGATTGCAATCCAATAATTTTTTGTTTTATTCCCACCTAAAACTTTGACTCAACCTTATGTCTGTGCCCACAGAAACAGCGAACCAAAGAAATCTGTGGTAATTTCAATTGATTCAGCAGTTAATAGTGACAATTTTCTCTGTAGATGCTCGGAAGGCACTTGAAAAGTCTGCTGTCTGCCAACAACATGCTCGGGTATAATTTTGTCTTAAGCATGTTCACACAAAAATTAAACAGAATCTGGCAGAAAAACAGTTGTGGCGAAGGGTATATCATTTTTTCATAAGACACTTCTTACCATTGTTAAACCTTTGATATTGGAAATTTGGAGACTTAAAATATGCGCAACAATTTTGTATGAATACTGGCAAATTCCGTTGCATATTTCATTTCCTGTACGGGTTAATTTTCGACGGGAATTCTTATTGTCTGTAAAATTCCCAGACTTCCAGTGGTAAATATGTCCTCAATCGTTTATAACTGGAGGATGAAACTGAACCTTGCCCTTCCTCCGAATGTTTTCTTTTTTCAATATTCCTTGCTATTAACAAAGGTTTACATTAGTTGAGTCGACAGTTTTTGGTTACACTTGGAAGAAATCCATTATGTCCTCATTTCTCTCTGAAATATCAATACACAGTGAAAACCTCGCTCATGTTGACTACATTTTCTTGACATCTTTCATTATTTCTATTCCAAAAAACGTTGCGGCACCTACTTTTACTGCTTCTAATAAGTAATAACCCAAAATAAGTTAAAAAGATGTCGCGAACAGCACTCGGAGACAGATTCCGCTGTCAGCAACAGCATGGCAGCGACAGTGAGTCATGTAACATTTGACCATCAGGAATTGATGCATAGAGGTCATCCTTTGACAAGTAATTTGACGGTGGCAAAAGGAGCTATAATTTTAAAAATCAATGACGTTATAGTTCGTAACTTGGTTTTATGTTACCCATATATATGAATACTCGCAATGTAGTAGTTATAAATATTTTAAACATAATATTTTTCATTGTTGTAAGATTGTACGAATTGCCATAATAATATTAATTATACTAATTAATTAGGCTGGATACCGTGACTATTGTCGCTCGTGAATGACATCAATTGTTTGTTAGGCAACCCTCTCGACATTATTAAGTTAATTGTTGCAGCGACTCTTACATTTTTCATGCCTTTCAAACTCTTAAAATCTGTGTATTAATATTCGTTGGTAACCAGTGGTTGGTTCCAGCGCATTGATTAGCTTCCGAAATCATGTGTAAATCCTGCTCCTTGGTTGAAAATTTATGTAGTTAATTTAAAATCTATTTAATATTTTAGTACTTTATACGTCAATGAATCTCAAACTTTTTAGAATCACGAACCCCTAATATTTATACTTGGAAAGGCTTCACCATCCTCAAACCCATGAAATCTGGTTAAAAATTAGTATACTGCATGACAGTGGTGGGTCATGCGTGTATGGCGAGTACAAATATGAGCATTTTAAATGTTTCAAATTGATGTGTACGTGTTCTTTGCGATTCAGCCTTGTAAATAATACTCTAAGTGATTGCGATGAGCAAACGTTTTTCATGAATGCTCGCTTTAAAAACTAAACATTGGGAGCGAATTTTATCATTTCAAAACAATTTGCTTGTGTGTCCAACATAAATTAATATACGGAGGTACTTTTTAATATAACGAGTGTTCTCGAAAAGTGTAGATCATGAAAAGGAGGAATGAAAGTTTTTCGTATCGACGAAGGCCATTCAATGATACCAAACTCGAAACCCACCCCACCCCCGGAAGTGGTGTGGGGAAAATAAGAAAAAGGTCGTGGGAGCCCCATGTTTTATTGTAGATTCGGATTCCCTGGGAAAAGAATCCGTAAAGTTGGTATTTAGTGAGTTTTTTTCGTTACATGTTACAAATTCATAAATAAAATACAAATCATATTATTAATAATACAAGCTACTGTTTCTTTCCTAACAGGACGCCCGATATTGGTTACGACTGGGAAAAGAATGAAGGAAATCCTTTTAATTATTTTACATTTGGAGTAGCATGTTCAGAAGTTGAGATTGACTGTTTAACTGGAGATCATCAGGTATGTGGTACATTAATATCAAATAATATTTAGCTCATCTTGTCATTTAAGAAACTTGTAGATTTTATCTTAAAAATAAAACAATTTTAACGCTATATATATATATATATATATATATATATATATATATATATATATAATAAACAAACATAAATGGATGTTGGTATATATAAGAGCGGATAACTCCGACACCGTGAGACCGCTCTCCATGAGAGTTGGCACGTCCGTTTTTTTCACGCAGAAATTTAATGTGCTGTTGATTTTGTTGTAACTCTACTAGATGGCGCTGTAAAGAAAACTAAATATTCATGTCATATGCAAACCGCAACACTCGGAATAAACATTTATTTAATAAGCGTCAAAAAACCGATAAAAACAATATAACGTAATATTACGTGCAAAGATTTCATCTGCCAGATTCAGAGACCTCTTCTGTACATCACAGTAAAGTAAGCCAATCCAAATTAAAAATGGAAACTGTGAAATTCTTTCCTAATTTTTGTCTGACACTGTTATAAATTTTTGGTTTGTATAGAATTTTATTCTATCGTTCTTTATTTTGTAAATATCGTACATCGTGAATCTAATTTTCAATTTATATTTTAGTGTATGACAGCTCTTATTATGGTGCTGTCTTTGTTTTACAGTTTTAATTGACGAATTACTGAAAATGCTCGCGAATCTGGCATGAAATGTGTTATAGAGTCATATGGGACATCATTAGGCCACTTTTACCTTCCGTATCAGCATATACCGCTATGTTCTTTATTAAGTTTTCTGTATTGATTATTGATATACCTGCTGATCCTGAAGTGTCAAGTCATGCAATACTACTAGTCATAAATGTGAGAGCATTTTCCACATTATTATTTTTTTAAACATTTGGTCTCATTTATCTTGAAATACGGTAACTTCTGTTTAGACAGACTTCTGCTTACGCAGTACAGAGAAAATATTGTATTGCTGCGGGGGGGACGGCGAATTTTCGGCAGAAAAACTCTTAATTGCCGAGCCCCCGGTAGCGGAAGAGTCAGAATCCATGTTTTGTGGGTCATTGAAACATCGATTGATGGCAAAACGTCTGTCCACCCGTCGGTCTTTCCTCCTGTGTACAACACTACCGCCCAAACATGAAGCCCCTGGGACATTTTTAAAATTCAAAAAAGTTCAATTTTTTATTAAACTCTGGGTTTGGATAGCGCAAAGGCCGCATAAGAGAATGGTGCAGATTTAATTTTCGTTGAAATCTTTAATTTTCAACATCAACAACAATATCGAAAATAGACATTTTTTTCCTTTATGAAATGTGTTATTTACAAACACGTGGAAATAAGGTCATGTACAAATTTTCTAAAATAGTAGTGTTTGCGTAATTATGTGTTACATTTAGGCAGTTTTTAAACAATTATTTTCTCAAAGATCGTTCAAAATTTTTTCTTCGTGTGTATCAAAGAACGGGAAAAAATGGTGCTGGTTCCATTTCCGGAAATTTTCTTGTAATTTCAAAAAATTGGGAAAAAAACAAATCTCTTTTTCGTTAAAATCACTGAATTTTCTAAAATTGCAAAAGTGCGGTAAAGTAGGTTGTTTTCTTGTTGTTTTTTTGCACCACTAGTTTAACTAAACCAGTCACGCGCTGAATATGATAATTCAGCCGATAATATCAGTATATTGGAAATAACAGTATCTAATATTTGCATGTTTCTCTCAAGATCAAACCTATGTCATTGTTTTGGAATTTTTCCAGTTCTTTAGAATATGAAGAAACCACAGATCAGGAGCCTGCATAGTTTTCTTTCAATTTCTTCTCGCGTTGGAAAGTAGTAATATACATAGTAACGAGAAAAGCTACTTTTAGCAAAATCGATACGATATATTTTCGTTGAGCGGCGGGCTTGCTATGGCTGGTGTGACTTCTCTTATTGACCCAAGCCTTTCAATTAACTACAAATTATGAAAAGTATAAAGTCATAATTTCAAATTGTTCATAACGCACTTCAGTGTTATCTTTGTGGGCATTTTCTCTACAATCAACAAATATGAATGAATGTATTAAGTATTACGAGCATTCTGTGAAGTGAATGGTGGTTCTTTGCAGGTTCTCAGAAGTGATATTGTAATGGATTTGGGAGAAAGTCTCAATCCAGCAATTGATATAGGCCAAATAGAAGGGGGCTTCATACAAGGTTATGGACTTTTCACCCTGGAAGAACCGATCGTATCTCCAAATGGAACCTTACTTACTCGTGGACCAGGAACATATAAATTACCTGGATTTAGTGACATACCAGCAGTTTTCAATGTGTCACTTCTTAAAGGAGCATCAAATCCACGAGCAGTTTATTCATCAAAGGTAAGATGTGTCATGAGTGATTACCGACTTAGTGTACGTTTTTACTTACAAACTCATCTGCTTTGGAAAATTGCATTTGAAAAGTCTTGAAAGTTTTCTTTTCTTGGAATAGAGTACAAAATAACAATATTAAGAAATACTGAAATGCTATTCTCATTAATGTAGAAATTCTCATCATATTATGAGTGCAGTTAAATTTTCACTCTTTCCCCAGCATTGTAAAATTCCATCCAGCTCTTTTCCTTATTTTGTAAAACAGAATTTACAATTTTTCTTGTCCAATCTTCTTCGCCTCTAATAGCACCTTCTCCAAAACACGTATATTTTTCTAATAATTTTGTTCCCAACTTTCTTATATTGTTTGCTTTTCTCACTTTTCGTTTCAGGCTTCAGATATGTTCGTTATAATATTCGGAATCCGGATTTTTAAAAAATTGTGTAAAACAAAACATATCAATACTCTCTAGCACAAAGGACTTGAAGTTATTCTATATTTCCTCTACACTTGTGCCTCTTCCCACACAACGAGTCAATTTTTCACGAAAAGAGCTTAGTAATCTGTGTGCTCCCATTGATGATAATGAATTATTATTGATTTATCAGTCGTTGGTGTATATTCGGCTTTCGACCCCCAATCGCCACCTAGATACTTCTCATTTGCACCCTCTAAAATTTTGACTTCTCAGATGGTCGATACACTTGGGAACTCCTGATCTATATGAATGACTCTGTACGAGTGGTTGGTGTATGCTTTCTATTACAGAACATCCGCATGATCTTCTCGAATCCACTATTTTGGCAAAGTGCACTCTGGTGAGAAGTAGGCGGTTTAGTTCAGTTCCGAGAATTCATTGAATCAACCTGAATACGGCGACGAGAAGTCATATGTAGAGATTTTAGAATTGCACTTCAGTCACTTCAGTGTGCTTCAGTCTCGCTTTCTGGGACCTCCAGACTTTGTCAATTTTACGTCAAATTCACCCGGCCTGACAGTCGTGACCCTCACGCTTTGATTTTTTGTGGGGGGGGGTCCGTCCAAAGAGAATAGTCGTAGGGTAATCAATTCTTAATCGTGGTCTTTTGAAGATCAAGAAAACAAGTCGCCTGATAGCTGCAACATTGGCTACCCGAATGACTGATGCCTTTGACCCCACATAAGATGAGCTAGTATTCTTGAAACGCTTCATCCTCGCCGCATTGCAAGCAGGCGCAACGCCATATTGAAATTGTTTGTTATGAAGGATTCATTTAAGCCTTGCGCTTCTCCATCCCACATTTCCAGGAGTGAGGAAGTAATTCTAACACGTCCAAATCGTTCGTTCTCACTTTCTTTACGGTGACCTACTGCGATGAGAATCGCCCCTTTAATTCCATTCTCTGTGTGTGTTTTTAAAATGATTTCGCTTTAACACATGAGTATTTTTATTGTTTTAAACATTTGATTTCTGGTCCGGAATCGCAAGGACTTGGGGCGGGTGCGCCCCAAGAACATGGACACCAGGACTGCGAGTTCGAATCCTGCGAGGGGCATGTATGCTTTCAGCTGCATTTGTGGCACGGGGGCATTGCCAGCCCCTTATGTATCACCTCCAAATCTTAATACTTTCCAATCCCTCGGCTTTACTGGAAACTAATGTACTCTGCAGATACTCTATGCACCGACCAACTGGCTTCCTAATCCCTAAAAAGATACAAGAACTGAGATAAATCTACGAGTTACTTCGGACAATATCTATACAGGACCGAGATGGATCCAGATGACCAATGACCAGATCAGTTGTCATATCCTAAAAATCAAATCAACCAATTCAAACACTAGAGTTCAAGAGTGCTTGTCATTTCAACAATAGCAATATACATAAAACATATGAGAATTGAAATTTAATTCTTAGAGGAAAAAGTAACAACTTTCAATTATCAACCTGATTAGAAAAAATTATTGCTTTATCAACCTTTAACTGTTCTCTTTACAGGCTGTCGGCGAACCGCCATTATTCTTAGCCTCATCAATATTTTTTGCAATTAAAGATGCTATTAGTTCTGCTCGAGTGCAAAGAGGATTCAGCAAGAAATTTAAATTGGACTCACCTGCAACCGCTGCGCGTATTCGTATGGCTTGTGAAGATGATCTCACATCAAAGGTAACAAAAGCTTGTATTTATTGTTGGTGGACCTTGACATCACATGTTAATGATTATATGATCACGGTTTACATTTTTTCAAGCATTTTTTGAAAAAATGGTTAATGCTGATTAAATACAATTTGTTTGTATCTTCGTTGAGAGTGTGATTGTAGTATACTATTTTCAAAATAATTTTATTTATTTATCCATGTCTGAGATTGCTATTTTTAACTAAATTGCAATGTCCTAAAATATTTCTCCCATTCTCCTAAAGATCTACTACATTACATAATCCCTTGTTCCAAACACATTTTTTTTTACTTTCTCGCACTTGCTTCGTAAGAAGAGAAAGTATTGTAATCGTGCGCCGGGAAATGAATTTTCTGCGGAAAATATCTTATTGCCGTGTCCTGGTTACGAAAAGTGGATAAATCCTGTTCCTATATGCAGTAAGTTCTTTCGTCGAACACGAGGTGTAGCCCGACTCCATGGTTTGTGAGTCCTAGATACCGAAAAATAGATTGACGGCACACAAAACATGGATTCTGGCTACATCACATGTTAGAAGAAGTAATGTGTTTTAAGGCATACAGCAACAGGATTTATCCACTTTTTCGTTCCAAGGACCGGCAATAACAATTTTTCTGACAAAAATTCACCGTTTTCTGGGACACGATAACATAAATTTCCCTTCTTACGAAGTAAGTGCGAGAATGTAAACATTAGAACAAGTTTTCATTTCTTATCGCGTTTAAGTGATAAATTGTAGTTTAACCTACACCAAACAAATTTCAATCTAGTTTTGGAAAAACTAATTCAAAGAACTAGCCTATCACGAATTTTTGAGCATTGTGAGTAGTTTTTTTTCGCTCATAATGAGAATGCAGAAGTTAATGAGCATGTTCCGTAATTATCCGACTCTTTGCGAGATGGGAAATTTGAAGTTGAAGTACGCCTTCTTTGACGTCACGTATGTAAAGCTAGGAACTAGTTGAAACGGAAATCCGCTATCAATGCTTATTATTGATCGTCTGAGTATCTTTGGATTTGATTTTTCATTCAGTACATATTTTCTAGAATAATTCTAACTGCGTTATTTAGTGTTGTCAGTATGAGTTAAAAGAAACCATTCCTAATCAGATATATGTGAAAAAATATAAAATAATTTACCACTGAATTTTTTATAACGATTCTATGGGCTAAATAGCTCGAAACAAGGAAAATATGTTACATCATTTGAGTTTTAAGAGACTCATATATTGTGTATAATATTTATGCCTATTTTACAGGTGCCGGCCGTTGACCCAAAATTAACACCATGGGGTGTGACAGCTTAAGAAGACAATAACGCCATTAGAAGAGATATGTTTTAAAAGTGGATATGTAGCATCTTTTTCGTTAAAGAAAGTCTTAAAGAAACTTATTGGTGGTAATATCAGTAATTAATGATATTCTGATCGTGATATTCTGCCGATTGTTAATTAATTATGAAAGATGGCATTAATTAATTATGTGAAAATATAACCATATAAAATAAACCAACGTACAATAAACTTTCAATATATCATGAATTGTTTTAGTTTCTCATTGTATTATCATCGTGTATTGTCTTGGGGACAAGAATAGTTTTACAGGGAAAGGAAGAGCAGCTGGACTTCCCTTACAGACGATCGAACGCGCACAGAATCATTCGAGCGGTATTTTGTCGTGTTGTTACTATCGTATCCGCCCTCAGGGGCAACACGACAGGACAGAAAGGACTCTCGACTTGCCACATCCATTTCCTAGCGAAGGCGGAGAAATATTGCAATCGACATGCTTCGTAAAAACTGTAGATTTCGCAAAAACATTTATAAAAAAGGTAAAACCAAATCCATAAACTCGTCTGTTATAATGGGCAAAATAAATCTTTACGGTTCCGTTACAAATGCTCGAAAATTCATATAAATTGATTTATTGATGTTTCCGGGCACGTTAGGTGCTGTGGTCATTAGTCCCGTTAATGTAGTAAATCTTTCATCGCGGGAGATAGTGGTGTTATTCCTTTCTGGATGGTGGGGCGCCGACCCACACTCGATTTGCGCCCCCACCAAGTATTACTTCTCCATGTATCTCCACAAGTGGGGCACTGCTCCAGACGGGACAAGCTTCAAGCTCCCGTATGGCCTCCAGAGAAGTGTGGTTGTGTTGTGCATGCAAATATTGAAGTGTGTGTGTGTGTGTGTGTGTGTGTGTGTGTTTGAGAAAGGGAAGAGAATAGGACAAAGAAGGAAAAATCGCGTGCCGTCCGTGCACAATTGTTAATGGACAGCTGCGCCTTTCGCCTGGTATTTATCGATGAAACCATGGAAAACTATCAATCGGAGAGAACGGTCTCTAGAATTCTCGTCCAGATAGCAGTCGAATCCGATCTTGCTATAAGGCTAGAGTACAAAATCTGCCACCGTTGGGACACAAACCCTAGTTCCTTCCGGTGCGAATCGTTGCATATACAATGGTAATGCTACTGAGAATTGGCAGGTTTGGGACGCACAAGGAATGCGATACAAGCATTGTAAGAAAAAGGCGGGCAGTGTGTATGTGTCTGTCGTGCGCTTACTTCGCACTTTCCTTTTTTTCGGGGAGTACTTGGGGAGGGCACCTAGGCGCTAGCCTCTAGCCCCCCCCCGCCATCGCACAAGTACGCCGACAGGCTGGTATCTGGGTCCAGATAGGACGAGTATGTCAAGCTGGCACAACCACTATAGCACAATCACATGAAACCAAATAGAATATTTAGTACTCATTTATACCTATTCAATTACCCAGAAATTAAATATTTTACTCTTGCTGTTTATGAAAGAAATGTGGCGTTTGCTGGCGTGACTGTCAAGCCAACACAACCTAATTTAAAAAATGGACACAATCGATTCAAACTAATACGAATATTTAGCATTCATTTATTAATAATTTATTACTCTAAACAGAAATGTATTACTGTTGCCATTACGGTTGACAACAGTCATGAACACATTTTTTGCAATAGAGATCACAAACTCTTCACCAAACCACGTGGAGAGTTAAATGCTGCTTGTGCTTCTGGCAAAAATTAGATCTGAAATAGAGGTGTGCAGAATGACGTCACAACGTTTGGCGGGAAAGTGCTGGGTGGCAACCTCTGCATTACGCGAAAGCGTGTCCTAGAGAATTACTAAGTGTTTGGCTGTTTTATGCTGTTGCCGCGGTGCGTGTGTTTTACATATTTGTTATTTACAATGTTATTTGGTTTCTTTCTGTTTATTTAGATTCTGGCAGCGAATTTCGTTGACAAATTAGAATTTAAGAAACACTATATTATCAACACATGTCAAGTCACTTTCTTTTCATTTTGAAAACGGTTCGAAGTAAATATTATCATCACCTTAGCAATAATGCTAAGGTGCTGCTTTATAAAAAAATGAAATGTAGGAAACATTTGATCCTACATGCCCTTTCATCGGTTATTAAATGTGTCAACGAATTTCGAGCCCCTGTGTTATTAACGCAGAAGTGACTCCCGTATAGTTTTATAAACTGTTGGCTTTTTGAATCTTTTTTTAGAAATGTGTTATTTATTATCATCGAGAGGAATATTACCAACATTAAACTTTAATAATCGTTTGAAAAAATTCAAAATGTTCATAAACAATCCCAAGAAATTCGCCCTCTTTTACGGAGTGGAGGAACTTTTAAACCTAAGTTAACCACAATTCAATATAATTTAACTATTAATTTTTCAATGCATTGTAATAGATATAATAAATGTAATAAATATATGGTTATTTAAAACAATAAATAAATATTGCACTTTTTAGTCATAATTTTACTAAATGTTTGCAGTTTCCTGTGCTGAATTCAAATTTTAATCATTGAATTTAAATAGTCAAGTCATGCACTTAAAATATTGCTTGTTATCACCAATGATTTTAATGTTAACATTTTTTATGAATCTTTTTTTCAATATCTTTTGCTTGGAAAGTTTTAATGAACATTTTATGCCAATTCTTGCGATACAAGCGTGACACGACTTGTTAGCCCTGGTTAAAGAAGAAAACAGTTGATTTGGTGACCTGCGAAATATTTTGGCTTAGCTTTTACACAAATAAAATGAATATTAAAGATCCTCAATATCTTAGTGATATTATATAGTGATAGTACATATTATGATGCTCTTCGTTGTACTTCATGTTCACTCTATTTTATTTCTATGCTCATTCTATTTGTGGCAAGCTTACAAGATAAACAAAAATCACCTCTCCCTCATACATTATCCAACCGTATATTGTTTCGCCACTGTTAGGTTATATAAGTTGATTTTAACTATATCCATTCATGATGATCCCCTAAAATCTTTTAAACTTCACAAAAATGCTGAAACGTTAAATTTGATTTAGCTCATACCATACAACATTTGCGAGTTTCGAAGGGTGGGTTTTTAATGCTACAATTTAAGACAACTCGCTTGTCGGATTTGGCTACAACAATGAAAGAAATATTTAGATTTTGCACTTGCAAGACTTTTAAAAATATTTCATAATAAATACACTTTTTAGCTTCTATGACAAAAAGAATGTATTTATTTAATTAAAAGTATGGCCTCTCTGAGTTATTAGTGACCCTATTAACACTTACAGATAAAATTGCAAAGTCGTTTGGCCATTTAACAATCATACGCTTTATAGCAGAGCAGCATATTAGCAGTTACCGCAAACTGTCACTATGAGTTGGCAAAGAATTAAATCATTTACATTTACATTCTTCTATTATGATACAAACAAACAGTTATAATATATAGTTGTAATCCGATCAGATGGCCGAAATGTCTAAGGCAGTAGCGGTGTCGAACCCGGAGATCGCGGGTTCGAGTTCCGTCTCGGGGATGGGTGTATTTGTGTTTGCATGTGTGTGTCGTCCTCCCACCTCTCACTATCATCACCATCTCATCTTCCGTACCCCTAACAACTATGAGGATAAAAATGGGATCCAGCTAAATGCTGATCCCCATGTAAAAATTACATGAACCTGCCACCAGTGGCGGCTGCGGCAGGGAGGCGCTAGGGACACTGCCCCCACCCCCACTGAGATCAGTATTTCTCCTCTTGCGCAGTCTAAAATAACCCCTGTGGGTCTGTATAAGTTGTTTTCGAATCGAACGCATCTTTAGCTTTCAAACTCCTGCTTGTTCCGTAGAACGATTTTCATTGGCTGAGGACACTCGCCTCTGTGTCCTAAACGCAGTGTTGTTAAGGAACGTACTGACATAAAAATGGTCGACAACGACTGCTCGAATGGCAACGTAGGATCGGCAAATGGCGTCTTGTGACGGCCGCCGCCCAGCAGCCTGGCAGGGGAGGTAGCAACCTCGTTGCGCGGCGCTATCTATTGATCGATTTTTAAACTTACAATATTCCTTTCGCTTGACTTTCGTCCAGGCTAGTGCTATCTGCTGGTATTCTGTTTAACTGATCTCCCTTTTCACAACAATTCAGTGCAGTAATGTACAATCGGCATGGTCAGCATCATCCTTCCGATCCGTAGACAAACTATGTGTATGCTGTATTCCGATCTTTGCGTCCAGTTCGTATTGTGCATTGAGATTGAGAATGGTTTCCAATTCTGTAAAATGCCTGAAAACAGTCAATGTGGTTATGCTACAAGGCTGTGCATGAAGAGAATTGGACCACCTCGGCATGATATAAAAAATTTGCAATCTGATAGAAATGGCAATCGTTCTTTCGTACGGAAATTTCAAAGGGGTAAATGGTCATATTAATTTTAGGCTGAATTTAGCCATGTGTTCGCTCTTTGATTGTAAAACGTTCCAACAATATCAAGAAAATTTCCCCCTACAAAAGGTTGATTGCGTTTCACAGTACCAGTTCGTGAGCTAGCAAACTGAAATCTGAGCTGGATGTGCTATATAAAAGAATCCGAGAGAGCTTTTTCACTTTGAAAAGATTATAGAGATTTTTAAGAAATACCTTGTCGAAAGAGAGATTTAATGGACTTTTTATGTTTTCATTATAAAGAGTTTTGTTACGAGACTCATTTAATTTTGAAGAATTAGTAATAGATTTACAGAATGTAAAAACAGAAGGCTCAATTTAATTTATAGATCATGTGTTTAGACTGTCTTCCGGGGAGATAATTCGATTGTAAATATTACTTATGTGACTTAAACAATCCAAGTATAACAATTTTTCAAATGCCTAACATTGTTTGATCCTGTAACTCTGTGTGCCCTCCCTGTTGCCTAATCCCAGAGCCGCCACTGCCTGCCACAGAGAAAATGTTTCTGAGCTCCGGTAAACGCATGGTGCATGCATGGCCGAAGTCGGCCTATTCGCGAGCAAATAAAAGTTGTAAGTTTGTTTACAGTACTTTGTTTAAAAATATTTTTTCTTTTATAAATGTCAACAAATGAGTGATTCATGGTACAGATTTCATTGCGGGACTATTTTAAGTTATGTTATAAAATAATCAATACCGACACGGCGTTGCCTTTAACGGCCATAATCGTTTTTTTTTTTTCGGAACTACAGTACAACA